GTTAATATAATGTGAATATGCATTATAATATGTTGATACATATATAATATGATATTGTCACTGTTGTCATGCTCAAGGTTTTAATATAAAAAAGTGGTATTGTGTCTTTGTCACTATCAGTTATATTTGTAATTAGGTGATTTATGGATTATTTAGACAATTAATAGATTAACCAGTTTTTTAAAAAGGGCCAAGCATAGATGCAGAGCCTTAAAAAAATCTGCAACACTTTCTTGGAAAAAGGATTAAAAATTAGGAAATTATTAGGAAGCCTTTAAAAAGACCACATAAAAAATATAACCAACTACTGCATGGACATAAATCCTATATTTGATAAAACTGTTGGATATCATGATAAAATATGATGTAAACAGAAATCTAGCTAACCTCGCCTTAAGCAGTGTTACAGTTGTAAAAAATAAAATAATGATACGTATCAGGACTGCAAGCACATTTTTATGCACTGTAAGGATGAAAAACAGTCAGAATGTCTTTTTCTATAAAGGCTGCAAAAATTAATAAAAATGTATGTTTTTAGTTTTCTATATAGGCCTTCAAAATGATAATATATATATATATTTTAATTACTTACGAAGTGGCTTAAAGTGATGCAGGTTTGTTGTGACAGTAGCCATTACTGCGGTTTACTACTACTGATTATAGATTGACTGAGATGTGTTGCTGGTGAGGATGAGGGGGGAGACGCATGTGGGTTCATCACATTAACTCAAGGCACAAGAGGATTTCTATCACCTTGTTGAAGAATTGAAACAGGATTTGCTGATTTAACAGACTTATTATAGCAGGAATACTGCATTTAATACTGTTACTATTACTATTTTGTAATATGGCCGAAGTGTATTTTTGCACTTCACACATCCCTTACCACCATGGTGCTGTATGACTTGCAGGCGGTGCGGAAGGCTACATTGTTTAATATAGGAGTGGTGCGGTTACCGCGTCTGGTGTGAAATGGTGTTCCAGCAAATCTAATTACCTCCTTCGCTGTTCATGTGAGGTAATTTAATTGGTTGTGTCATCACAGCCCTCAATAACCTTCTGTCCATCCAGAAACTGATCACAATAACGCAAAAAATATTTATCACACAGTCTTAATAAAACATAATGTGGCGAAAAATGTATATAAATGAGTTTGTTCCTCCTGTTTCATAGAGAGAGAGCAGTAGACCTTAAACTGCCGAATCCCTGCCAATTCATTGCGGAGGTGCATTTTAATCACTAATTTTTTAATCAATCATAACAGTTCTGGTTTTCCTGTGACAGTGACACTATGTTCCTTAAATGAATTGTGATTTCCATAGCTGTGTGCTGAATGACTGACCTGCTCCCCCTTCTATCTCTCTCTCGCTCTCTCTCTCTCTCTCACCCACACACTGACCTTCTCGAGTTCTTTCTTGGTCTCACACATCCTCATTGACCCACAGGCTCTCTGACAGCAGCTGTCAGTCTGTGTTTGTCATCAGTGGCTGACATTAGTGGACAGTCCCTGTTTTACTCTCCCTTGCTCATTTACAGGCATAGTATCATCGCTACATTTCAACAGGGATGCTGCATTTCACGCTGAGCTTTTAGGAATCTGTAGATATGGAATTCCTCAAAAAACCCTCATGCGAGCCCAATTTCACACTGATATTACAGAAGAAATTAAGTAATTTTTTGCAGGAGTGAAACTGTGTTTTACTACTTTAAGAGAATTAGATGAAAGATGAACACGCGTGGGAACTTCTGTGTACAAATGTTATTTTTTCCCTGTTTTTATGAACATCATGAACAATATTCAAGCCACTAAGCAAATAGCTTATTCGGTGCTTGGTAAAATCTCTACAGATTTGCATCATTGGTTACAATCGAATGTCATCACGTCCCAGTATTTCTGTTTGTAATGAATCTGTGGAGTTTTTTCTTTTATGATGCACACAGTATATTCAAAGCTGAACAACTGCTATTAGTTGTTTTTTCTCTTTTATTTGTTTTTTTTTTTTTACATCAACACATAATCAGTCAAACAGTTGCTGCAGAATTTCATCAGAGTGATGAAGGCTGTGGCTGTGTCATAATAATGTTGCTGTTGTAGGCCAAGAGTAGTGCATAGAGCCTAGGGCTGCAAAATACATCACTCATTAAGAATTTTCACAACATTGCCTTCAGAAGGCTGCGATATACAGATGTCCTTTACCCCCAAGAGCTTGTTTCATTAACATGTGTTTCATGTCTAGATCGTATCTGGGTTAGGGACGCAAATTTTGTTAAATACTTTTGACCAATAACAGACCATCATTAGTGAAGTGGCAAGCTTAAAATCAAGGACACAACCAATCAAAATATCGATTATAAAACAGATAGTCCCAGTTCTGAAATCTGATTGGCAGATCCATACTTGAAGTTGGTATAAAAGGCTTGAAATATGCAAATATGCACTGTTAAAAAGGACTGCAGTACTGATAGGTAGGCCAGACATCCACCTGTAATTGAAGTAAATGGCCCAAAACTGTATCCCCTATCTGAGAACCCAATTTTGTTTAAGCTGAGGTGCTGAAACTATAACATGCTCATGGTTTTCCCACCAAAAACATAAAAGTTGACAAAATTACATGAGTATACAATGATGGGCTAAGTTCTAAAGTTATATTTACCACTCATTACTAGCCCAAGTGCATCTTGAAAGCCATCACTGTTTCCCACACTCTTCTGTCTAATTTTAAACAGTCATATGTGATTTCTTTACATTGCTGTGCCTCACATTTTTCCTCTGAGAACATAGACGAAATTGTTGTCTGTCTTATCGCTTGTTGTCCTCTCGATCTCTCGAAAAGTGGTCCCGAACTCTGCTGTTTTTAGCTGATCACTTCTTTTTTTGTAGGCCCATCTAGTGGAACCAGTTGCCTATGGCACCCTCATGCATACAACTCAAAAACAATCATCATGAATAACAAACCTGCCTGTTCAAATAGGAACTGTAGTTTATTGAAAATGAAATAAAATTAAATTCATGATAGCATGGGTCAAACAATTGTTTATTTGTCATTTACTGGCTAATTGGTTAATTATTTACATACCTGATCTGGATATACTTTGGCCAGATTCATTGTACACTTTTAACTAAAATGCTTCCCCAGTGTGACCAGATGTATCCAAGTTTACCACATTAAAAAGCACATCAAAACATAGTTTCTGTTTTACTTCCAGTAAACTACTGTAGACATGGCTTCTCACCTGTTACTACCTGTGACCTATTAGACACTTTCATTGATCCAGAGGGTAAGAAGGCACTTGGTTTCAGCATAACTTAAGCATTATGAATCCTCCATCTTTAATATTATAGTTTATTCTCTCACCTGGTCAAGATATGTCTCTGACCACCCGTGAATGTGGATTGATTGGTCTGCTTGTAATCTGATCTGATCTATGAAGTCACACGTTGATGCAAGGTCTAAAAAACCTCTTAGAAGTTGAAGTGGTTGCTACACTAATCAAATGTAATTATTTATATAACTGCAATAATATTTCATCCCAATCAGATCATACTAATGTATCTTGTCAGCTCTCCAACTCGTTTCACAGAGCTACTTATGAGAATATAATAATTTATATAAAATTATATCATACTTATGTCATCACCTAAGGGTTAACAAAACCTAATATTTTACTGTGCCCTGAGAATTGTGTCCATAACTTATATATTCTGGATGAGCTTCTATGGTGACACACTTCATTTTAGTCAAAAATAATGCAATGCAATCTTCAGCCATATCACATTTGTTCAATAATGTATTTTTAATATGCTGCAAATCATGTTGCAGTCAAAGGAATGTAGCAATACCATTACAGTGTAGTATTTTGTCCATGTCGTGCGACCCTGTAATAGCCCGTACTCTTAAGACTGTTTCACACCAAACACAAGGGGCTAAAAAAACTAACCAACGGGTAGAATATCTTAAAGGACAAAATATACTCTTTGATTCTCTCTAAACAGGCAACCTGTTCTACTGAGGAGGCCACTCAAAAAGCACAAGGGTCATGGAGAGTTTCACCACTTCATTCAGGAGCTGAAACTACTATAGCCCTGTTTGGATTAGATTAGACTATCAGGGGGATGTCTGTAAAATATGCATCTCCTGAGTGATAAACATCCGGCTGCTTTATTCCTGTAGCTGCCATTTAATTAGCCTGTGGGATCTTACTCTTCTGATTTGTTTAACTTCTTTCTCCTCCTGGTAATGGTGTCTTAGTGTAGAGAGCATGGAGATTGCATTTTACTACTCAGATCAAGTACATGGCTGGGTTACTTTTACAAAGCTTCCATCATTTCTCAACTTGGGAAGTGTTTAATATGGATGTTTGCTAGGACACTTAATACAGGGAGTAACCTTTTTTTTCTGATGTGAGGCAACATCTGCCTGGGAAATCACAGAGTTGTGCATCCAGACAGGACTAAAACTATAAGAGGAGCACTGGGTTTAGTGAAAAACAGTAGGTAATTCGGCCTGTAATTTTCTCAAGGAATTAGGGAGAAAAATACTGACATGGCTGATCCGGACTGAAATAAAATCACTCGGTGTCCACAGTCACTTGGAACTACTTTTTTCAAAAAGTTCTAGTTGCTGGGAAAAAAACGATCTATGTTGGTTTGTACCAAGACAACACCAGAGACAACAGTGATTGGTCAAGTGAGATCAAGTTTAGAAAATTCAAGCACAAGGCAAATAAAATAATGCCTTATTTTTGCTTCACGAATTCAGTTATACTTGTGTTTGAATTGATTTATTGACCTCAGAATAAGCTGCACAAATAAGTCAGGCTCAGTGTGTAAAGACAAAGTTGTTTGAGAGTTTGTGTGCAGGTGCATTTCAAAGCTAAATGAAAGAAATCTGTGAATGCATTATACTAATGAGAGTAAATATCAATCAAAAGGCTTCAGTATGTAGTGTCATGTGGAATTGATGATAAAGACAAAAATTTTCCTGCTCTCTCCTCCACAGACTGGCTCGGTTCAGATGTGTGATGTGGTCAATGAAATCGAGCTGGAGAGGGAAAGATGTGAAAACAAAACAGCTGGAAATGTCACATCAGGTAACATTCCCCAAACTTTAAAACTTTACTTTGGGAAGGTCTAGGCTTTTTTCCATCAGGAAGAGTGAATATCGCTGAGATTTGATGTTAGATGTATTTACCGCACTATATTAGATGTATAGCTCTGTGGCTGTTTAGACGGCGGACTACCAATATCCATCTAGATGAGTGTGCGTCTTCAGTGTTATAATAGATTGCTTTCAAGGCCCTGACACAATACATGTAGGTTAATGAAAAAAAAACAACAACTTGTACGCTTTCCAAGCCTCCACAGAGCCAGCTGAGTCTTCAAGGGCTCTGAATGTTCATACAAATGGTCGTCTGGAAGCTCCTTTGAACTATGAAATAGGTTATCCTTTTCTGACTCATCCTTTGGGCCGACAAGGTACATGGACAAGCCAGTGTGAAAAACAATTCTTTGAAGTGAAAGAACATAGTGAAAGTCATGTTCATGTTGTGGAAAGATAACATGAGGAATAGGGGAATGCTTTGTCTGCAAGCATCCCACACGGTATGAAGCAAGCTCCAAATATTTCCTTCACCGTTCCAGTGAGATTTACAAACCTTGTCACAAAAAGACACTACAAAGCACACTTTCTTGCTAATGTTCGCTCAGCTGTGGTTGACAGTTAGCTTCAGGGCTTATTTTGAATTTCATCTGCCAAAGCCATTACATGTAAGCAATTTAAGCAATGTTCTTGCATAGGCAAATATATTGATGCTAACATGTCTTTGAGATGGCAACTTTGTAAGAGTAGGGCTGCATTTATTAAATATTATCGTTTTTGAATATTCTATTTAATAGTACCTTGAATATTTAAACGTTCTATGTAGGGCTGAATGATTAGTCATTTTTATACCTAAATCACAATTTAAAAGAGTGCAGTTTTCAAATTGCAAGACCTGAAGTTTTAATGATTTCTTACATTATTCAACACTGTCATCAAAATAACATTGTTTTAAGTTGAGAAATTTTACCTTATAATGCAGAGCTTGTGAATGGGTGTGCTGGTTTTTCTGGCAAAAAAAAGCCTGGAGTTTAGTTTATTGAAAATAATCGCTTTTCAGTTGCAATGTTAGTCAGACAGTTAAATATTTAAACTGAGCGTGAAACTTGTAACCCAATCCAGTAGCGTGTGAAGGCAAAGAAAGTAGTAAGCAACGTTGTCTGATAGACAAGCCTGTCGTTAACCCATGAAGGTAAAGTAAGTTAGCTAGGCAAGAAAGTCCACCCAAAACTCTAATTAAGCATATTGATGTGTTGTGTGTTTAACCCAATAATGCAGAACTTGTAATGCTGATCTTTCTGGTGAAAAAAGGCCAGGAGCTTAATTTATATAAGTAATCACATTTAAATCACACAGAAAAATTGCAATTAAATATTTTCCAAATCATTCACCTCCTAATTCTGTAAGAATAAGATAAGGTTAAGACATGGTTTACTGTTATCCTCATTGTTGCATTATTATGCATTGTTATTGATTCTTGTTATTAATACAAGTATTGTAATTACTTGCTGAAACAGGAAAGCAGTCTTTTTACCCTCATCTTACACATGAAAACAACTTTTTGGTGAACTCTTGTCAGAGAACTGGGAATGTTTTAAGACACTCAAAACTGCTTTATACTGCAGATTGTGCTAAACTTTAACTTTAGCCTTAATGTCTGATGCAGTCTGAATTGCAGCTCTGGACAGCTAGTTAGCTAGCACATTCTCAGTAATGCCGTAATTCAGCTGCAGCTGGAGTTAAGACCAATACTGTGACCTCAATTGTGAGTCTTACACGGTGTGCCAAGTCACAGTCTCCAAAGAATCCAGTGTGCAGCTCTGGCAACTGCACATTACTGGTGACAAGCTAGAATGTGAAAATGTGAATTCATAAAAGTGGTAAATGTGTCAAATATTTTAATAGCTTTTCTGTTTTCAAATATTATTGAATATTATCGTTTTTTTTGCAGCCATAAATCATTATCAACTTAAATTTACAATAATGTAACAATTTTATTCTGAGTCATTTTGGACCATTTCTTTTCATCAGTATAAAGGGGAGATTTTGTTTCCAAATTAATAAACAAAAAAGTTATGAGGGTTTAGAAGATTGTTTTTAGGAGCAGTGAGTCAATGGCCTTATCCCATATCAGCTAATATAAAGGACTTTGGACCTTAGTTACTGACCCCACAGTAACTAATTCATTTAGCTTTGCTTTATCATTCAAGGAAAAATTATTTGTTTTTGCACTTTTTACACTGATTAAAATGGTGTCTGCAGAAAATCTGTTGCTTTTCCTGATTAACTGATTAATTGGAATCATAATGGGATGACTAATTGATTATGGAAATAGTTGGTAGATGCAGCCCTACATATTATGCTGTCATTGTAATTGGGTGTCCACTTTGTCAACAGGCTGCAAAGGCATGTGGGACATCATTGCTTGCTGGCCTTCAGCAAAAGTCGGGGAAATGGTGGTGATTCCTTGTCCAAACTATTTCAGCTACTTCAGTGATCATCATAGTGAAGGTAAGCACAAAATAAATATGTGGAAAAAATGACTAGGTGTTTTTCAAAACACTGTTGAAAAATTCGTATCGATTCTTGATTTACCTCAGCCTGTGATTGGCTGTCACACTTGTCCAAGGCTAGGGGTGCGGGAAAAAATCGATTCTTAGATGCATCGCGATGCGGACGTGAATGATTTTGAATCGATTCACAAATGTCAAAAATCGATGTTCTAAATATTTAATTTCTAAATGTTGAAATGTTGACGGAACCCAAAAGGCGGAACTTGGAAGTGGGTAAGTGCAGCGCCCGGACAGTCTGTGGCGGCACTACTGGATGAGCGAGAAATCCGACCGGCTCCCTCTGCATTAAAGCCAGGTTAGGTCAGGAGTCACAACCCAAATGATAAGAAGAGCCATTTTGTCCTTTCAACAAAAACAAACCAACTTGGGAGCCACAAAAACTTATGTCTAGTATGTCTTAGTATGTCCTAGTGTAGGCTAAACAACATAAACAAAAACAGACTTACTTTGCTCTTCTTTAAGCTTTAGCTTTAGCTGCTTTCCTCCCCTTTCCCTCAGGAAACTTTTCCTCAGAAGTAGATCAGTTAAATGTTTCTCAACGTTCAACTGTTTTACGAGGCTGAAGTCGCTTCTTATTCTCCAGCTTCTCATTCGAATTTTCCCGTTCCACCTTAAATTCTGACTGAGGCGCCGAATGTAAATTTAAGGTGGAATGGGGGAAATTCGAAAGAGAAGCGACTTCACCTTTGCGACTTTTTAGTGTTTGACAGTCTCTCGTTGCAGATGTAACTTGCCAGGAAACCAACTGTGGTGCTTATAAATGCGAATAACGCATCGTTGCTAGGTGACCTGCAGTCTGCACGCTAATTCTCAGTCATTGCGAAACAGGGCTTTCGCGCAATGTTGCACACGTCCCGTCTCAAAGATATGTACACAGCGTAAATGAATCGTAATCGAATCGAACTGTGAGGTGCCTAAAGATTCCCACCCCTATCCAAGGCTCTTGCTTTAAATTATGTAACATGAATGTTTGAAAAGGGTGTTTTGTCGTTTGATTTCTGAGAGAGAAATTGGCCTGCTGGGAGAACAGTATAGTAGAACTCTCTGTAATGGTCCATTAGGATTTCAAGTCCAATTTGAATTGTTTCTGTAAGCTAGTTGTTGGCATGGTTTAATGAGGAACTGTGTGCTGTCTGATGTATATAACAGTGTATTGTAAATCTTTGATCTTTTATCAGTTTAGCACTGTGTATCGACTTTCTACAGTCTCGCGCGGCTAGGCTTGACCTCGTAATGAGAACGTCTAGAGACAATCTTGAGAAATTTGGGACAAATGTTGGTGGGGATGTAGGCCCATTAGGATAGGAACAAACTGAGTGTAAAATGCCTAAACGAATCCAACACCTTGTGAAGGAGCTCAGAGTAGGGGACGATGTCGTGTTCATCAACATTGTCTGATGGACAAATAAGCCTGTCGTTAGCCCATGGATGTAACATATGTTAGCATAAAAGTTGTGTGTGCAGGGAACACTTAGCTTTGCTAGCTAGTTTGTTTCGCTTGTGTTATTGATTGTGCTCTGGATGTTAAAAGAGCACGGAGTAGAAGAATTTGTGGATGGGTTATGGGGGGGCGTACCCGTTTTAGCGGCGGATTTAACAAGATGTCCTCAGATGTGATTCTTGTTGTGAGATCACATCTGGCCCTGTACATCTAACTTTTGCTAGCTTTATTTGTTTGGATAATAGAGCGAAATAGCAAAAAAGACAGTAGTCCTGCACTCACTATTTCAAATAAAGGTTCTGAATTAGTGATATATCATTTTCTTAGATACATCATTCTAAGAAAAAATGGTACCTTTTACTAAAAGGCAGCTTTTATAAGGTTTACATGACACTTACTTAAGCCTTTCATGATAACATAAACCTACACATACATGTATTACCTATTACAAGTAGAATCAGTTGTCATAAAGGCTGCTTTTATCATTTTTCTTGATTTTCTTTTTGTTGAAGGACAGATGCAAGTTGTACAGTGTACAATTAAAGCATCGTTTCTCCTTCCATTTTTCTTTTCTTCCAAGGGCAGCCCTCTCCACCACCCTCCCACCCCCCTTCCTTGGAAGTCCATAAAGAAAAGCTTACACACAAAAGAGGAAAAAGTGCGGGGGAAAAAAACAGCATAAGGGGTGCTAAAAACATTGACAGCCTTCATGATGTACAGTGTGTTTCAATATATGCTTAATTAAAAACAGTAAAATCTTAAATTTGAGTGTGTCAATCTAAACGTGAGCCTTATCACAGGCATCTTCCCATTTATCAAGGGGTTGCCATGTTTTCACGAAGATATTATCTCTTATTAGTAAACTCATAGCGAAGTCTCTCTATATGCAGCACATCCCCCAGATCCCTAAGCCACTCCTGGAATAGAGGGCTCGTCTCCGACTTCCACTGCTGTAAGATAAGGCGGTTAGCCAATAATGTACAGAGGGAAATGGCTTGGCCTTCATGTTTATTAATGGATGAATTTACTACTGCTGGTCCAAAAATAGCAAGTAATGGATCTGGTTAAGAGTTTCATTAAAGGCCTTTGATATATAGATGAATATATGCATCCAGGGCAGGACCAGAACTGATTGGTAAGCGTTCCGGTCTCTTGTTTGCACTTATCACATAAAGGAGAGATGTTGGGATATGACGTGAAGCTTGGACTTATTTTTTATTTACTTGGAATAATGGAGTCTGTGAACTTCTTTGTATTGTACTAAGGCATGTCTGGCATTTATAGAACTAAACTATATTCTGTCAAGAATAGCCTTACATACATCCTCAGAGATTTCAGTATCAAGGTCTTGTTTCGTCATTTTTCAGTTCGTCACTGGACACCACTACACGAACCTGTAAAGTATCATACAACAAAGAGTCTTATCCCTTAGAGCCTAGTACATGGTGAAGGATGCTGTCCAGTATATTATGTCTGGGCAAATGTTTATACTGTGGTATATAGGTATGATATAGGTATAAGTCCTATTATATAACAGTTAGTTCCAGCCACGCAAGCTGATTGGTTGAGAAGCGTTCTAACTGTGCTGTTATGTCGCCATAACATCACGCTTTTTTCACAAACACTGTATCACTCCGCTGATACGCCGTTGCTAAGCAACGACTTTGACAGCTGTGGGAGACGCTCAAGCCATTTGAAAGTTTTTACTTCTTACTTTGCGCACAAACAGAAAATGGACACTTTTTGGATTACATTTGACCTACAGCCAATTTGATCAGACTCTGAAGATGAGATTACACTAAATTCCGAAACTGTCGTTACTACTGAGCAAGCTTTTCAGTCGGCAGCTGTGACAGAAGAACACCTAAACAATCTGGAATTAGCCAGAAATGAACCGGATACCATTCGCCAAACAAAATGGGCTCTAAAATGCTTTACAGACTGGCTGGAACAAAACAACATTAATAATGACAAAACTGAGCTAAACTTGATATTGCAGCAGTTTTATGGCTCAGTCCCATTTGGTCTGGCTCTGAAGATGAGACTACACGTTTGCCGAATGGTGTTCGGTTAATTTCTTGCTAGTTCCAGGTTGTTTAGGTGTTTTTCCTGTCACAGCTGCCGACTGAAAAGTTTGCTCAGAGGTGATGACAGTTTCGGAATTTAGTGTAAGGAGCTGGAGAACGAACTGCTGGCTGTGCAGCGAGTTAGCGGAGTTCATTGTTCTGACGTAGCAACAAGCTGCTTGTTAAGGAACTATAATTTGGCGGAAGGAATCGCTAACATTAAAACACATTAAATGCCGCGTTCACGGCCCAGTTTATTTATTTCTTACTTTATTTATTTAACTGTTGTATAAAAGCAATAGAACATTCAAAGTTGTGTGTTATTGCGAATAACCACGTTATTTGATAAGATGTTATTTCACGATAACACACTCCCTCTCGTGTTCTATTGCTTAAATAAAATTCCTGACCTGAAGGTTTGCTTTTGTTATTTTAAAGGCATTTGACCTCAGAAAGTGATGACTGATGCTTGTTGGTTTTCATGGTTTTATGAATGACACCCTTCGGTAAGTTGTTTACAAAAATGGTGCTTGAAAACCATCCATTGAAAGGTTCTTAAGAGAACCAAAAGTGGTTCTTCTGTCCCATTGTAAAGAACCCTTTTTGGCACCTTTCATTTGAAAAGTGTGCTACACCAAAAAAAAATAAATAAATAAATAAAAAAATTAGTAAGTGTCATATGAGAACTTTGGCAAACATTTTGGTCTGTGTGACGTTCAGAAGAGCTTCGCTTTGAAGGGTTTGAACTGATGTTTTGTGTTTTTGCTCTCAGTCCTATTCACCTGCCAACAGGCTTTTTTGGACAGTCTGAAAGGACATTCAATTCTCCTGTGTTTTTTATCCTTTTAATAATAATGATTATAGGAGCAGGGAGATCTTGAAAGGAGGTATTCATTGCCGATTGAGAGATAGAAGCGAACAGACATGTTGATTTATGCCGTCAGGCATGTGTCCACAATGTTTAAGTCTTTATTTGGACATCTGTCACCCTCTGCATTATATTTCTGCTATGCAGTCATCCCGGAAGACGTTTGTCATCAGCTCGTGTATGAGATGTACAGAAGCCCAATAAGCCTAGGAAGCTCACGGTATAGCAACATGCAGCACACCCACTGCTTTGTGATTTCTTCCTCTTCATGCAAGTTGGTTTGGCAATGCACAAAGGATGATGTATGAAAGGAAAGTGGAAGCAATGGCTATTCACTGTAATGGGCCGAACCAGAGGGAGTTTTCATGCATTAGAAAACTCCCTGTGTGCACACGTGTGAAGAATTGAGAATGAATTGCGAATGAGGTTTTCAGGCTCTGAAAGGTTTGTTGGGAATCTTTCAGTTTGTTGGAGCTGAAAAAGCATAAGATGCAGGAGATGACATATCACCAAATGAGAACCTGCCGTGGAAACATTTTTAATGATTCAGAGAGAGTAAAAAC